TGAATAGAGCATCTGTTAATAATCTGGCCGCAGAGGAACACAACTGGGTTGCCTGATATAAAGAGACATAAACCCCAAAACAGAGCTTTACACTTGCGCAATACGGAAATATCTGCTAAGTGTGCTACTTATCTTTGTCAACCTGGCAACCCTGTGCACACGCTCTCTCTCCACTGTGGATAAATGCGCTAGGGATGGGCGATACCTCTTATTTTATTTTCGATCCGATACCGATATTTTCAAGCCCAGTATCGTCGATATCGATACCGATACCTCTAAACTAAATTGATCTTTTAAATTATTAAAAGAATATAATCAGTAATTATACTCACTTAATATTAGATTTTAAGGCCATGTTTTTTAACATTTCATAGGCCTTTTTTGTTTACGCTGTCAGAAATAAAATATACAAAAATTGTATTTTAGCCCTTTACTGAGGCAGTAACCTCAAAGGTGCACCTATACCCCTAAAGGGGAGCATATTAGTACCATACAAGTATGCATGCTTTAAGGGTAGATAAGTTACAAATGTGCACCTTTGAGGGTACCTCATGAAAAATAAACATGGTGTTACATGTGTTACATTAAGTACTAAAATGTATTATTATTATTATTATTACCATGGTAAATTTGTGGTTACTGCAATTTTACTACAAATACTGTGGTAAACTGTGGTTACTGTAATAAAACCATGGTTAATTTTTGTAAAAGGCTGCCAGGCTGTTGAATAGTAAAACAGCAATATTGTGAAATATAACCATTAAAATAACTATTTTCTATTTTAATATATTTTAAAATGTAATTTAAAATGCATCTGTGATCAAAGCTGAATTTTCAGCATCATTACTCCAGTCTTGTACTCCAGTCACACGATCCTTCAGAAATCATGCTAATAGCCTATCATTTGCTGCTCAAGAAATTTCTGATTAGGCTATTGCTGCTTCATATTTGTGTGGAAACCGTGATGCATTTTTCAGAAGTAATTTTATATTTAGTAACAATGATATGTAATGTAATGTAATAATGTGGCAATGGTTTCTTAAGATCTACTTACGCTTCTGATGCTTTTGGGAAACGCAGCCCCATTTGAACAAACACTGTGACTGAGCCATGCGTCAGCAGCGTTTTTATACAGTCTATGGTCAGCAGTGAACGCTGTCTGTGATTGATTGGTTCTGTCTTGTAGCATTTGCATGTGTTCCGATGAGCAGGAGAAATAGTTCTATCCAACACAATTGTTCGCTAGTATAGTCTAGAAGCATATTTTATGGACCAAATTTCTTGATAAATAAAATTAGTGGTTAAAAAATGCACTTTAGAATCGATATTTTTATGTGAGGATCGATCCATTCGATGCAACATAAGTATCGAAAGTATCGATACTTTAGGATCGATCCGCCCATCCCTAAAATGCGCTTGCTTTCTGAAAACAGCGGTTAGCTTGCAGTTTAGCGATCTCCACTTCAAGTCTATTCTCAGAAAAGTGTAATTCATCAACTGTTAATTTACGACAGAGAGAGAGAGAGAGGCTGTGTATGTATGAATTACCACCGTTTTGCCGCGTTTCTCTATTAGCAGTAAAGCTGTGGCTTTAATTCCTTTAGAAACAATGATGCTACCAGCTCCTTGTTGAGAAAGATAATGTAGCTCTTGAGCGATTAAGCTATTTAGTTGATAAAACTGCGGGGCAGCGCTAAAAAGTTTGTTCCTGAATGTCTGAGTTCGGCCGCAGCGTGATCTGTGTGAGTGACTGCACCAAACAGTGTTGCCACCTACTTTTCAGGGGAAGTTGCTAAAGGAAGGTTGATTTGTTGCTAAAAGTTGCTAAATTACGTTGTGATGACATTGCGTGATGACATCATTACGTAATCACGATGCAAAATTGTGTCAAATCTCAGCAAAAACATATATATTTTATATATGTTAATTTAGATTTGTTCGTAGCAATATAAATGCATAATATAATATTAAAATATAAATAACTTTTTAAATTCATTGAATTATCGAAAACGTACACATTTTTGAACGATTACAATTTAAGTTTTATACTTTAAAGCAGTTTATTAGTAGTTAGTTAGTATGCTGCACTCTAAGAAAAGTAAACAAATAATGCACAATCTACTGTGTTAATATGAAGGAATTTTCTGGATTTATTTTTCTACAGGTTTTTGTACCTGCATTTTTAATTACGCATTGTATTTTGTGTTTTCGGGTTATAACGGATAATGCCCTGGAAAGTTACTAGCACCTTTTCCATTTTTCTGCATATTTTTCTTACAGTGTACTAACTCATCAACAATCACAGGTACAAGCTACTAACAACGTGTCTCATAAATGAAAAATAACAATATTCAATTATTATTATTATTACTAGTAAATTAAACAATGCAAATAGCAGCTAACTTAATTCCTGTAACGTGTGTACTGCTGGGCATCTTTGGTTTCCTCTTTTTGTGTAATTTAAATGGTAAATTGTGCCTTTTTATCATTTCAGTCACTTATCAAAAGTTGCTAAAAGCTGCCAAATAAAATTTAAAAAATAGCTAAATTTGTTGCTAGGTGCTTTTGGAAGAAAAAGTTGCTAGGGTAGTCTGAAAAGTTGCTAAATTTAGCAACAAAATTGCTAAATTGGCAACACTGGGCAGAAGTCGTTGAGGGTGGAGTCAAGACAATTTGGCGCATCTTTTTGCACTTTTAGTGTAAAATAAAATCACATCATGTTGCACCCTGCAACTACACAGACAGGGTGTACTCATCAACACTGTAGATTGTTAATTCAACATTTTGGGAATTATTAACATTTAACACTGCATGTTTTATCGTATCGTGACTTTGCTGGTGATACACAGCCCTATAAAATGCCCAGTAACTGGAGTGTGAAAACCATGCGACTGCGCAGTCACCCAACAGCAAAGACAGAATTGGGCCACCTTTCACAGAGGTCTAGGGTGCATTAATGTCCGCTATTTAGTGAGACTGTAACCTTCACTGCCAGAGTTCTCACTCTAACGCTTTAACAGGGAAGTGAGATGTCACACACCTGCCTCATGCAAGATGCTATAACATATACTGCAATAAATTGGTGTGATAGATTTGATCGATGCTGCATATGCAAATTAAAAGAATGCTGACAAAAATTCATCAAGACAACAACTCAATATATATTTTACACTTTTTATATAAGCATGCATACATGTATGTATTATTTAAGGCACTGTTCCAACCAAAACTGTGACTTGTCTCAATAATCAATTATTTCATTAGATGTCATGGGGCCTCTTTACACAGCTGAGTTAGGGCTGCTCTGTGCCTGCTCAAAATTCTGTATAAAAATGTAATGCTGGATAAAATCCAGACTAAATTATTCCTGCTCAGAGCCACTTTGGCCCTGAATATTGAAGTATACAGGTGTAATTTTTTGTAAATGCATTTATGCCACCTCTGAGCAGCATTAAACAGTCTGTGTAAAGATACAAAAATGCCAATTCAGAAGCACTTCTATACCACCTTTGCAGTGTAAATTTGGCAACAGTCGTGGAATCTGTACATAGTGCAGGTAACCTTTATGCATATCAGACGAACGACCTAGGACAAGAAAAAGTTTTTTTTTTTAGATTTGTTCAGAAATCTTTTTTTTTTTTAATGTTCAGAAATGTTAAAAAAAAAACATAAATTAGCCTAGCCTTGTCACTGATAATCACAAAGGCTGGTACAATGCCCCATCTAGACACCCTATTTGTATGCAAAATATCCTACTGATGAACAGTTTGCAATTTAAGATATTAGCTGCTGAAATTGAAAATGTGATTTTTCAAAATTGCAGTGAAAAAATAATAAACAAAGGAATTAATACAAATAAATTATTAATTGCTTTGTATATAATGCACTATGCATGTCCATTTACACTATCCACAACTTAAACTATGGTAGAGTGTATGATTTTTAGAAAGTTAGTGTCACCTCAAATCAAACTGGCTAAAAATGCTATATTGCGAAATGGCGTAGAATATAGTGCAGATGTACAGTAGGCAACATGGGACACACCTACAGTACTTGCAGACCTGAGTAGATGGTGGGATTTGTGACTACTTTGCAATTTTAGGTCTCTTTTGTTCAAATAATTGCAGAAAAATCAAAAATCATGATGAAGAAAATGCTGCTTGGATCCCTTATGAGTGTACATGACAACCTTTAAAATATGGTAAGGAGACCACACAACACCTTTACCCAACTGCCTCTACATTTTCATAACTAACTAACTAACTAACTCCAGTGTGACAGTAATTCACACCACGGTGTCATATCCTATCATATCGTTTACACAGGTAACTGACATGCGCCACGGCATCTATGTAACCAATCTGCGTCTAACCACAGAAATAGAAAAGTCCTAAAGAAGGTGAGAGGATCGTATCAAATGTAACCGCGTGTGGGAGGACTTTATGGACACACAAACAAGGCACTTCTTTATGAAATGAAAAATATTGCAGAATTATTATGCTCGACAAAACCGCGCATGAGCGCCAACTGGATTTATTTACTAATCGCGCGCTCAGTAAGGCGTTGGAGACTATTACAACAAACACAAAAACGTATTTGTTCCTTCTTAGACAGACATACACATCACACTTTGCCTAAAATTAAAGTGGCATAAACATCATTTGCCCTTGCACCTGCATGATGCTCATTGAATTCCCATTCACGCGCGTTGACTACAGGTGCGTCGCGAGCGCAAACTCGCACCTGACTCAAGTTCCAAATAAGGGAATAATACTCTAAATAGCAGCTAATAAGATATCTTGCTATTATATATACGTAAGGATGCCAAATAAATCAATATGACCACTAAGGGAAGCCCAACAGCGTTGCTTTAAACCCGGCGTACGAGCCAACATTTTTGATGTCTCAGCATTACACTGTCTTTATCGTAATTAATCATCAAGAATGCGCCAAAAAAACAATATTGCATTTGAAAAATAAAGAACGGTGTTTTTACTTACAGTTCGTAAGAACTGAACCTCATCTTCCCCTTCACCACCTTCGGCCATGGCTGTAGAAGAGCCTGCCTAGACTCCGAAAGCCACCACTGACAGCAGGCAGCTGAGCAGTGCTTCTCCTGTCCTGCCGATATTAGCATAGCGCTCCATCCACAGCCATATAGGGGAGAGCGGGCAAGCCCACTGCCGCTGCTGTCACTCACTCGCTCTCAATGCCAGTGGGGCACCATCACGAGGACGATCGCATCTGCATCACCTGCGTTGCTTCTATCAAACGGAAAATATGAGTGGGTTAAGTCAGCATGTAAAAAGACTCTGTATACTGCAATATTAAACGTCTCTCACAAACAGGCTTAACAGGTTGAATGTGAGAAGGAATGACGCTGTAAACGCTTTTTGGCTTAATTAAAGCCACTGGGACAGTGTGTTATACACACCATTAAAACAGAAATAATTGGTTTTTACTTGGTTATTATGACCATGAAGCAAGACTGAAACTAATTGGCTAATGTTATTTCTAATAGATAAAAGCATTCGAGCTCTTTATAAAATCGTTTTAAATTTTTGACGTACATAAAGGTGGGGTAAGCAAATTCTGGTAGCCAATGTTGACATTTGAAATCACCAAAACAAACATGCCCCTACCCCAAAAGGGTCTCGCCCCTATTTTGATAGCTCCGCCCCACACATACGTACGCAACCCAGGCAACTATTAGTTATGTGAAACAAAGCAAAACCAATGTTACAAAAATACTATAGAACTCATTATAATCAGTGATGCTGTCTACACCATAGATATATATACATATCTATGGTCTACAGTGGATGCGGCGCGGCACGACACAACAAATCCCCGACAGAAAACTGCTGCTGCTTTCTATTCACGACGTATTGACACAAATTTCTAATGATTTTCAACGGTCGTTTTGTCGCATCCAGTGTACTAGACAGACTAGTTGTTGCGGTGCAGACACGGTGTTACTCACCTATCGAGAAGAAACAAAGCAACCTTGGCGTCCGATCGCAGGCCTTCCGCTCCTTGAGTTCTCTCCAGCGCTGGAAAACTGATCCGATATTTACACGGGTCCTACTGCTTGCCTTATTGCCTTAAGCCTTCTTTTGTTCCGCAGACGTTTTCCTCTTTTGTTTTTTATCCACCATCTCTATCTTTCTGTCGCTCAGCTCGGCTAATGTCCGTCCTGTGCACTGAATGCTCTCCCCTCCACATCATGAGTAGACACGCCCCTTACTGCTGATTGGCTACAAGTTTGTTTTGCTAGTCTGCCCGAATCAGTTTTCTGAAGCGTTTTTGAAAAATCGCTTACCCCTACCCCACTTTTAAAGGCACAATATGTAATTTTCACCGCTAGAGGGCGCGTATTCAAAATAAACAAACAAGCAAAGGCGTAGTTTGATGACGCCGTGACTGAGTGTGGAATCATGGGAGTTGTCGTCTTCATCCCCACAGCCGATGCAATCCGACGGGACTCGGGCAGAAATCATGTTCATGGATGAGCTAATGATTTATTAACGTAGTAGAATGAAGCAGGGTGAGGCTGAAAGCTGTCGAAGCGAAACGAGGCCGCTGAACGAGCGTGACACACGGCTCGAAAGCAGCAGAGCTTTGATTATGCCACAGTCGACCGCTTCCACTCCTTCCGGTCGTGCGTATGTGGGAAAAAAAAGCAGTGCTGTTTTATCATACTAGATACATTTGAAAATTTTGTTATAATGCTACTCTGTGCGGTCGTCACCGGTCTATAAAAACGCACAACATATTAAAGCGTCTTTGGTGTTTCTATGTTTTCAACAAAACAAAACCGGAAAGCGAGGGGTTATGACTAGGGCTGAAACGATTCCTCGAATACCTCGAGTAACTCGAATACAAAAAATCATCGAGGCAAATGCTTCGTTTAGTCCATTTACTACTGTAACTACACACGGAACACCGTGTTTCCCCACAGACCATTATTACTTACGCACAACCTGATAAACGCTGGACCAGACCATACACTGTATAAAAACAGGGACCAGACTTTTAAAAAAAAAAAGCGCTCGACATATTTAAGACCATAAATCAAAATGGTGGCTAGTTATAATGTCCCTACGTTAGCTATGTTTTGTGAAAGACTAAACGCCATGGTGCATAAAAATACCACAGAAAGAAAGTTAGTCAATATCACACGAAGAGTGCCAGTTTTCACCTCTAAAATCAGCATGATTACAAATGTGATTTTATTCAACAGTTCAATAAACAAGAAGGTAATATTATGAGACTTACGTTTTAGACACTATATTGCCTGTTTTTGCTTTATTTTGCTAACAAAAAATTCCAAACACAGCCACAGCGCTGTTTTACGTCTCTGTGCAACATGACGGGGTTTCGTTCCTGAATGAATCAACCGTTTAAATGATTCGGTTCAGTCGCAATGAATCACTTCTTAACAGTTACTTGCTGCCACCTGCTGGCGGTTTTTTCGTTTTTAAAATAATTTGAAATATCAGTATTCAATGTTTTATGTTTAAAATATCAAAATATTATTTATGCATTTGTAACTGCAGGTTAAAGTATTCTGTACCTCTGAGCAGCATTAAACAGTGTGTAAATACATCTAAATGCCACTTCTAATGCCGCTTCTGTTTCCTCTGCATTGCAAAGATACATTTTGTTGATACTGATTTCATTTGCTTGGTAGCAGCCCAAATGCAAGAATTTGACTCAAAAGATGGTGCACACTTTTAGAAAAAATGGCTTAAAGGTAAAAATGCCCATAAAACCTGTTGGAACTGTGAACTGACCACACAGAATATGAAG